AGAACAAAGGTTTAAGAGGGAGAGAATCTAAACAAACAATTAAGAGAGTAAAGAAAGAGTAAAAGGAAAGAGAGAGATTCTAAAATCGTATTACGGAGGAGTATTTATACTCCGTACAAATCCTAAACTAAAACAAACTAAAACGACGCTAATCGTCTCCTAATAAATACACGCGCCCGATCGGGCGAGGCACCGTCCGATCGGGCGCGCCTTTTTACTCTATAATACCAATCTCGCGCCCGGCCGGGGCGCGTCACCGGGCGCGCCTCCGGGCGGCAGCCTCTTTGGCTGGGCGGCTCACTTGGGCCACTATTTGGACTACGATTGGGCTCCAATTCTTCGGGCCAATATGGGTTTCCTCTTCCGGTCTAAAATACTCGGTCCAAATGTCCCGGTATCACCTATACCGAGCCCTTAATCACCGGTTCGATGGCTCTAACCGGCCCTGGGCTATAAAATTTGGTCGTGCTTCTCCAATGTTCGCGATGGCTCCAAAATATCTCGGGAAAATACTCCAAAATCATAAATCCCTGCAAAAGTCAACCAAATCTACGAAAATACTAGAAAACACCAATTAGTAATAAAAGTGGCTCTAAAGAGCCAAAAACACTACCAATTATGACCAAGGGACGGGGGTAAAATACTATATAAAATAGACACATCAGTTCATTGTATGACCCAACCCAGAAATAGGGACTGACCGAAACCAAGTAGAGGTGTGATCTCCCTGTTGCGACTTCCACAAAGCCGATTGACAAGGAGATAAAGAAAAGGTGGATTCTGCAGAAGCGGTAACCTTTGTGAAATATATATATGCCAATTTCTTCATGAGTTTAGGGACAACGACCTCACAAGGATTACCTAAAATGTTAGACTCCACTGTTTCATTAAACAGACTCAACGCATCCTCAAAATCTTGACCAAGACCGACAATACCAGTACGACGCAGAAGATTCGTTTGCAACCCAGCATACTCAACCGAGAAGCATGAAAAACATAATGACGAACATCACCTGCAGAATAAGCACCAAGCCCGCCAAACGCAAATGGTAAGGTGGCAAGCCGCCACTGCCAATCGCCACACCTGGACCCCAAAGTAGTAACAATACGCTCCAAGGAAGATAGAAAAGCCTCGTCAAATACGCGCTGAACCGTCATATTATTATTATTATTATTATTATTATTATTATTATTATTATTATTATTATTATTATTATTATAATATTTTTTTATTTTTATTTTTTTCGGCGGGAGCAATTGTGATTGTTGAAAAGTTGCATCTAATTAATTAATTTTATACTATAAATTGAAAAAGGACCTAATTTATTTTTAATCGCACAGGGCCTTCACAATACTATTCATTACACATACAATACCGATTGAAAGGACAGACACATTAAAGTAAACATAACACAATTAACCCAGCATGAAACTAAATACATTGAACGAAAAAAAACTTAAATATAACCATCTTATATAAATTTTGCATGACTGGTCTAATAAAACAATCTTAAGTATCACACATTCACACCTAATGAAGTTAAATAAATAGTTAGTAACATAGCGGTGATACCCCACAAAAAACAAAGAATCAAACATAGTTATTACTCTGGAAATTATATTAAAAATTGAAAATTTTAGCAAAAAGAAAAGATGAGAAACTCACCGAGAATCGGAATCGAAAGAGTTAGAAAAAGAGGGATTAAATTGAAATTGAAGAAAAGGTGAAGCAGATGAAATGGGGACTAAGTAAGAAGACCACCATAAAAATGGGGTTTTTTTTCCTTTGGAAGAGATAACTTCAGAAGCAGCAGTTGAAGGGGTGCTGTAGTTCTGAAGCTGGGATGATCGAAGGTGTGTAAAGATGGTTATGGAAGATGAGTGTAGATGAGAGAACCACAATGAAAACACCATTGTTTTGCTCTATTTTAATTTTTGTGATTTTTTTAATAAATTGGGAGAATTAAATCAACATAAGCATTGAACTGATCGTCTTATCACATCAGTGGATACGTATCCTACAAACTAAAGATGGCATTGGTTGGTTCTAGCGGGTTCGAGGTGCAACATGGCTGTACTCCGTACTCATATTAAAGATGAGTGCGGCCGTGTGTAGGGGTGAGCAAACCGGGTACCCAGTAAAAATTTTAGGACTCGGATCCGGAATTGGTTGAAATCGGGTCCTAAAATTCGGAACCGGAATTGGAATTGGTTTAACCGGTCTTAAAATTTAGGACTTGGAATTGGAACCACCGGGTACAGGTTCTGGTTCCTGGTACCCACTTATGTAAATAATTATTAAAATATAATATAAATTATGATACTTATTTGGATTTGTTTTCATTTTTAGCGTTTAACACTTTTATTTATACGTACATTAAGATATTTTATTTATGTTAGGTATTAAAAATATTTTTTTATTTTACTAACTAGATACATTTAACATAATTTTATATTAAAAAAACTTATTTAGTGTAGCATATGTTAGTTAACCGGGTACCCAACTGGTTCCGGGTCCAAAAAATCAAGAATTGGAATTGGAACTGGTTGCAACCGGTTCCTTAATTTATTACCCACAATTGGAACCACCGAGTCCAATTCCGGCTCCGGACCCACCGGTTCCTAACCGGTTCCAATTCCAATTCCGGGTACCCGGAATTTTTGCTCACCCCTAGCCGTGTGGGGCATGTCGAGCCATGTGCTTTGGGATTGCCATAGACTCTCTTAAGGTAAATCTACTTGTCATGGACAAATTTTTAAAAACTTGGCCTACACAATACAAGCCCATGTGTCATCATGTCGGGATTGCATTCCTAAGCCGATTGCTAATTTTAGTATGTTGCGTTGTGTTGGTTTGTATTGTGATATTGTGCTTCTCCTAAATTAGGCAACTCACAATCCAACAATACATTTATGTATTATGTCATGTCGTGCTATGTTTTTTCATGCTAAGTCGTGTAATGCCTTCGGTCAGTCGACTCAGTCTCATCTTTATATGGTACTACTATGTATACTAGTATTATCAATTTGTCAATTTCCCACTAACTCGACTATGCAAGAATCAAATAAATTAGAGTCAGGCATTAATAAGGAATCTAAAATTGATCAGATTTAATTCAACCTAAAACCAAACCAGCCCAACTTGAAATTTGTTGAACCATATATGACCCATACCAAACATCAAACTAATCATAACCTATTATACCTTACTTATTTACAAACCATGAACGTTTAACCTTTAACCCAAATTATTAATAACTGGAAATCTTTCCAACATCTGGGAAAACACGAAGATATCGACCCATTTTAACATGTTATCCATTAAACCAGTATATCATGAACTTTTTTTTTCGCGGCAGATAAAACAATTAGATATTAGTAGCATTAGTTTCTAGTTTGTGGGTTTTTCCACCTGTTCTCTAGCTACCTTAATACAGAGCCAAAAGGAAAACATTGAGGCTAGTCTAATGATCTCCTAAGTAATAGGTTTGATATTTGCTGGTGCTTGCTCAGGATGTTGCATTAGTCATATCACTTCTTGATTACCTGTTCTAACAATTACTTGGTTATTCTTCTCTAAAGTTGCTTGTAGTTCGGCCTCCACTACTCCGCACTCAGCTTGTAGGACACTCAACGCTAATATTCTCTCTGTCCCTGAGCTATAAAAATCATCACCTATTTGTATGTACCAACCTAATGCTGCTATAGGTTGCTTCATCTTGTCTTTTTTCTTCCAGTAGGTGTATACTTGAATCTGCATTAACGTTGGTGAAGTAAGGCAACCTGTTCTCCAAGTCCAGCATTTCGAGGGCTCCTTCTTACTATTATGATTGTCAATTGTATTAGTAGTGGATTTTATCCACTGTAAGATGCCATTCAGATCTAGCTGAGTGGAATTTGGTCTGGTTTGGTTCTTGTGCAGCCACACAGACCACAAAGTAGCCATGAATTCCATCACTCCTAATCCCTGCTTCCCTCTGTTTCTCCTTAGAAATGTTAAGGATCCAATCCTATAAAGGATGTCTTCCAAAAGGCTTTATGTGTAGGCTCAAAGATGAAGTCGCCCAAATTCTTAAGGTGATGGCACAATCTCTGAAGAGATGCTCCTAGGATTCTTGACAGTCTCCACATAAAGCACATTGTGGTGCCACAAGAATTCCTCTTTTCCTTAGATTTTCTGCCGTTTTTGTTGCATTATGCATCAATTTCCACATGAAAAATTTCCATCTTGGGAAGAGCTTGCTTCTTAGTACTTTCAAAAGTCTGAGCTCTGATGATATCCTTACCCTTTTCTCCTGCATCTTGTACCCAGTTCCCACCGAGTAAACTGCTGAGGGAATGAGCATCCACTCATAGTCCTCTTCCTACTCATCTTGAGAGATGTGGATGGCCATAATTTTTTGTGCATCTTTAAACTCAAATATCTATTTGATTAGATGAACGTTCCACGTGCAATCCTCATGCATCAGGTCATTCACCTTTGAAATGCTTGCTAACTCAGGCTGTAGTGGATCCTTAACCTTTACAGACCATCCCCTATCCATGTATCACCTCGAATGCTGATGTGTGAGCCATCGCCTATAGTAAGGCGAATTAATGGTTTCAAGGTGGATATACTACTCACAAGCTTTAGGATGACCAGGAAGCCCCTGGTTTCAGCTTTCCTTCTTTATAGCCAATTGTAACCGGTGATGCTCCATACTTAGCTGTAAAGACTCTGCTTGTTAGGAGAATTGGGTGTTGGTGGAGTCTCTGTGCTTGCTTTGCCAAAAGTGCTCTATTTAGGGATGCAACATTTCGCATTTCTAGGCATCCTGAGAGTTTGTGAGTGTAAATCAGTTCCTTCTTTCTCCAATATACATGCCTCCTATCACACGGCTTATTGGCTTAACCTCCACCCGAACCTGATCAAGGCCGCAGACAGTCTTTTTAATTTGTAATGTTATAATAACTACATCTGTATTTACTTCATAAGCCTTAACTCATCATGTTAAAGAGCCATAGTTAGACGACTGTATTAAAACCCGCCCCATTTATTTATTGGACGGATCTGACCCATTCATAACTGGAGCAGGTCCGAGCGTCTAATGGGGCTCCAACCCATTGAATTGCTCTAATTGCCAAATCAATAAGGAAAAAAAAAAACCGGACGAACGACTCTCTCTCAATTCTCCATTGAAGCGCACTTGACGTTCTCTATTGAGGCGCCTTCTAACACTTGTATCCTCCATTGAAGCAGCTTCTGAGGTAATTTGTTGTTTCTTTTTGTAATGATCCTGTCAATTTCACAATCTAGGGTTTATATCTTTGATCTAATTTAACTTTATTTAATTGTCAGAATAGTAAATTTAAGGTTTGAACATTTGAACTATTGGTTCTAATTACTAACGATAGAAGAAACTTACGAGCCTAATTTGCTAATTGAATTAAATCTGCTTTTTCTCCCTACAATTACTGATCTAATAATTGAATCAAATTTTGTTGCAGAACGAACCCTTTAATGTTAGGATTGAACTATGAAATTGTTGATTGTTTTGATAATAACTGAATCAAATGTGCCTTTTCTCCCAAAAATTATGTGATTTTTCGAGCATGATTTGATAATTGAATCAAATTTCATAATTGCTAATCTTAGGATTGAACTATGAAATTGAATACCATCAATTTTGAATGTTGGGGGGTATCTGTTTGTGTCTGTTGTATTCGGCTTGGAAGAAATCATGTTCTTAAGGTTTTGCTATGTTTCCTCCATTTGATTTGGTAATTAGTGTTGTACTACTACTAAGTAGTGGTAAACTGGTAATGCTTTGTTTCTTTGTGATATGGATTTCGGCGACTCAATAAGGCGATCAGACCTAGTTCAGGCAGCTCTGCACTGCATATGTTGGAGTATACAAATTCTGTAACTGCTAAAACGCGTTTGAATTCCGTATTCTCCCTTCATTATTTGCCTTCAATGGTTCAGAACATGGAAATTTGATCTTCCTACATAAGTAGTGGTAGTGCTTTGTTTCTGTGTGTTATGGATTTTGGCAACTCGATAAGGTGATCAGACCTAGTTCAGGCAGCTCTGCACTGCATATGTTGGAGTATACAAATTCTGTAACTGCTAAAACGCGTTTGAATTCCGTATTCTCCCTTCATTATTTGCCTTCAATGGTTCAGAACATGGAAATTTGATCTTCCTACATAAGTAGTGGTAGTGCTTTGTTTCTGTGTGTTATGGATTTTGGCAACTCGATAAGGTGATCAGACCTAGTTCAGGCAGCTTTGCGCTGCATAAGTATACTATTTCCATAATCCTGGGTCTCGTGGTTGATAGCAGTTGGAGAATTTGGTTTGCTTTGTTGACTCATTTGCCTTCAAGGGTTCATAACATGGAAATTTGATTTTCCAAGGTTGTGTTTATCTAGTAGTCTAGTCCGGAGTACATAAAATCATTCTTACTGAATACGCTAGAATCTTTTCACTAACTTTTAGATGTATAGGTATGATCATTCACTTGCAAAAGCACCATCTTATCACGGCACAACTTGCCCGAAGAGCAACCTTTTGGCGGAGATTACATAATGGTCCAGACACTATAGAGGAGCTGATTGACCGGCATTTGGTGAAAGAGAAACCATCATATGACGATGATGAAAATGAGCTCTTAACCCGTCAACGACTCACCAGCACTCGACGAGAGGCATTGGGTCTCTACAGAGATATACTCCGTGCCACACGGTTCTTCATGTGGCCTGACTCTAGAGGGGTGTTGTGGCGAGATATTCTTAGAGAAAATGCTCGTAAAGAATTTGAAGAGGCTCAGTTTGAGAAAGATCATGAAGTAATAACTCGGTTATTGATTGGTGGAAGAGATGCTGTTCAAGCTGCTCTCGACAAGCTTGCTGAGAAACAGAGAGATCAAATAGAGAAGGATCGAAGTGGCAGAAGCTAACTATGTTGAACTTTAACCATGTATGTATGGGAAATGGAAGTGAATTGTTGTTACATCCTTGTATTGAGTTGTATTGGCTGCCATGAATGTAGAATTGTGCATACTGTTACCCACTTGCCCACCCATATTTCTCTCTACAATTTCATTTGCATAAAATCATGTAAAATTGGCTTTGGGCAAGTAAGTTGGAAGGGAGGGACTATATCTATCTCTCAAACTAAGGTCGGTATCAAGATAATTTTATTGTAAGGTTTGTAAGTTTTAAGCCAGGTCTGGTCTGATCTTGCTAGTTTAGTTGAGGAAATTTTACTCAAGATCAGACTGAGCCTTGAAAATTCAAACCAAAACTTACCGGTAACTATCAGCAACAAGGGAAAAATACACAGAGAGAGTGAGGAGAGAGAATGGGAGCATAATCTGTTAGTTGAGACGAACACTATAAGAGGGGGTGAATTGTAGGTAAGTTCCTATTACTACTTTTTGCGGAAAATAATTAAACTATAAAGGAACTTGCAAATGCACACAAACTTTACGAGGAAACCTTCCAGGGCCTAATTGGAAGTAAAACCTCGACCCTTTCTAAGGGATTTCCAAAACCAAATTACTCCACTAAAATAGGGCAATATCAAATTACAACCTATTATAAACAGACCTTTACTCACAAGTTTCACAACGAACTTGCTACACAGTAGGACCTTATCCTACCCAATCTAAGTCCCAAACTTAGATTCACTCGTATTCCCAAAGTACACTCACAGCCTCACACTAGAAGTTAGCACTCTGTATGCAAAGTATAAATTACACACTCACCCAAGAACCCAACCTATACAAAATATATGACCCTAGGATATGCTAGGCAAGTTATGCACGAAATCCGAAACTAATATGACAAATAATAAGCTTGGCAAACTTACACAATTAAGCACGAATGATTTCTTCAAGCATAAACTCACAGAAAACTATGAAGTGAGATCTCCACTATTTATACGAGTCTAGCTCATATAGCAAGTAGGGTTAAATTAACAAATCTCAAAACACGATTTAACAAAAAGAATAATATCTTTTTGTTAAATGAATTTTGAGAAATAAAATCAACTAGAAAATCTTTACTTAAAATCTATCTTTTATCTTTTCTGTTTACTTAGATTTGTCAAGCAACTTGTCACGCTTCTAATAGGTTACGTGCAAACCCTACTTAATATATTTAACAACCGATCTAGAAGATAAAATCTTAACTAAATAAGTTGTTGTGCCATTTTATTCTGCACTCGAGAATTGCTTGGGCTTCACGCAGACCAGGACCAAGTTCCTGCTGTCTTCAAGTTCCTGTTAGGGAACGTTCCTGTTAAGGAACTTAAATAGTTCTTGTTAGAGAACTAAGTTCCTGTTAGGGAACTCTTCTTTTATCTTGATTAACCTTCTTAAAGACTTCTTCTTCACGTTCTTCTTAGTTAAGGTTACTTTTCCACCACCAAGGTCTACTTCACCTGTTCTTAGTCAAACACTAAAATAAATCTTTAGTTAAGTTTGCTTGAGTTTAAGTCAATAATCATCAAAACTTTAAGCTTCAACATAATCTGGAGAGTTGTGTGAGAGACGTCAATAGGAGGGAAGTCATGAAACAAGAAAAAGAAGTGTACGAACTACAAAGATTATTTTTCAAAAAAAAAAAAAAGAGAAAAATATTGAAATACAGAGCAAGAGACTAGAGTAAAGAAGTGTGTCATTGTTCATAAGGAACGGTAATTGGGTTGTTGACTTTTAAAAGGTTAGAAATTTGATTAAAAAATTAGTTATACCTATTAATAATGTTGGATGTTTGGCCAACGCCTTTACGATTTTTTTATTTTTTTTTGACAAAGGATACAAACAGCAAATTACATACTAATACTAAAGCAAATAGAGTTAACCGCCGCTTCTCCTGCGATTAGATGAGCTCTGTTGACGCGCTAGCGATCCGCCTTATGGATAGTGCAGACTCAGAACCTTGACGCGAGGTGTAAAATTCTCCGAATGAGCCAAATGTAAGCGATATTACCCTGCCCTTTCTCACGAAGCAGGGTGACCAGATGAAAGGAATTAGAAAAAACCGCAATAGACCTAAATCCTCGATCAAACGCCCACTGCAGCCCATACATGCAAGCCAACGCCTCCGCATGTAAAGCAGAGGAACAAACCCCGAAGTTACTACCTCCAATGATCCGATCATCCAGCGGGTCCTCGTTATCCAAGCACCAACCCATTCCAGCTCGTCGAGAATCCTTGAACCAAGAGCCATCGATTTGAAGAGAAAGTAAAGCACTCCCCTGGGGAGTCAGGCCAAGCTGATCCATATAAGACCCAGGCGGGGAAGAGGCTCCCCCATCCGTCGCCACAGTAGTAGGGGTACTAGTAGGGCCATCTGAATTGACAAAGATTGAATGACTATCCATGACCTCCTGAAACAAAGCCTGAAAAGGCCGAGTCACAGCAGAATCCCTAAAAATTCTGGAATTACGACATAACCACATGCTCCACAACGTACCGACAAAGGTACATAAGCGAGTACTAGAAAGACCATCCTGACTGATAAAAAGTCGGATATAATCTTGGATCCAATCTGAGAGAGAAAGGTCTCCAATAAATTCTGAGCGAATGCCGAGGCATCCACCCCTCCAAACCAAACGTGCAGAAAAGCACATTCTGAATAGGTGTTGTAAATCCTCCGGTTCTGTACGGCAGAGGTCACAGCACACGTCTAGGATCGGAACTCCTCTATGATTGAGTTCCACCTTGACCGCAAGAGCACGGTGTACCAGTTTCCATAAGAACAACTTCCATTTAGGCTGCAACGGGAGAGACTAAAGAACCTTCTAGAAAGAGTCAGAAGCGGAAGGTGTAGAAGGAGGGGAAAATAGTTGTTGAAGCATAGCATACCCAGTTTTAACCGAGTACTTTCCAGAAGAGGAACCCGACCAATAACGAAAATCGTCTTGAGTCGTATCAGGGGCCTCCATTGCCAGGATTGTAGAAGCATCCGCAGGAACAAAAGCATCAAGAACTTTAGTAGTATCCCAGCCCTTGGTCTGAAGATTGACGAAAAAACTGACAGTATAAGGAGCCGAATCTGGCAAAGTGATTCCTGGTTTGAACTCCGGAATGCTACCATTAACCCACTTAGCTGACCCTGCTAGGGTCGACCTTCCATTACCTGTTTTCCAGTTACAACCAGAATTCAACAGTGTTTCCGCCCTGAGCAAACCCCGGAGGCCATAAGAGTGTCGGCCAGAAAAACGCGGCGTAGTATTAGGGTTGTTGGAAAGAAAGGTCGTTAGAGCACTAAAAACTTTAGACACTAGCAACTGCGGGTTAGTAAAGAGTCTCCAAACTTGTTTCATGAGCAAAGCCTTGTTTAAGGAAGACAAGCAGCGAATGGCCAAACCACCGAGGCCTCAAGGAAGGTGCATGGTATCCTTATTTACCCAGTGCATACCTTTAGTATCAGAATGTGCCTAGAAGAAGCGCAACAGTAAGGAGTCGATTTTCCCAGTCATAGAGACGGGGACCTCATAACAAACGAGGACATGGGAAGACATAGCAATAAGGATAGAGTTAATAAAAATTAACTTTTGCGATTGAGAGAGGCGTATAGCATTTAAACAGTGAATTCGGCCAGCAATTTTGTCGATGATAAACTGAAAGTGATCTTTCTTTCTGCCGACGAAGTCAATTGGAGCTCCTAGATGATGATCGAACATCTGAACATGCTTCATTTGGAAAATAGATTTAAAGCCTTCCTGAGCAGACGTACAGATATTTGGGCTAAACTTAATCAAGGATTTGGACAAGTTTAGTATTTCGCCTGATATCTTAGTAAACCTCTGAATAATCTGCCTGATATTAGTACAGGCTGTAGACGAAGCCCGAAAAAAGATGAGAGCGTCATCCGCGAAGAATAAATGTGAGATAATAGGGCTCCTTCTAGACAACTTGATTCCTTGAAAAAGCTTCAAGTCTTGTCCCAAGTGCAGCATACGAGAGAAAATATCCATGCAGAACAGGAAAAGGTACGGGGAGATGTGATCACCCTGACGAAGACCACAATGTGGTCTAAAGGTATCCGAAGTAGAGCCATTAATCAAGGATTTGTAAGAAACCGTGGCAAGGCATTGTTGGATCATCTGTAACCAACGGTCCGGAAACCCATAGGCTTTTAACACTTGCAGAAGAAAGCTCCAGTGAATTCTGTCATAAGCCTTACTCATATCCATTTTGATCGAGGCGAGCCAATTAGTGCCCGTTTTAGAGGAATTGATTTTCTCCATTAACTCATGACTCATCAAAATATTATCCGTCATAACTCGGCCTAGAACAAAGGCATGCTGAGAATCTGAGATGAGGAGAGGAAGATACTGGAACAAGTTCTTCCTATGAAAGGATTTGCAGTCCTCCATAAAGAATTTGAAGATCCTTTTGCAAAATTGCAAGTTCTTCCTAAGAAAGGATTTCGAGTCCTCCAGAAAGAATTTGAAGATCCTTTTGCAAAATTGCTCCCATTTCGAGTCTAGAGAAAAAATTGCAAGTTCTTCCTAAGAAAGTTGCAAACTTCTTAATCCCCTGTTTTCTTTTTTCGGAAGATAGGAAGGAATACAAATCCAAAAGTTCTTCTTTGTGTTCATAATGCCAAAATATCAAGTCGGCGCATTCGTCTTTCTCTTGATTGTTACTACAGGCCTCTTGAATATTCTCTTTTCCTTTTTTCTTTCATTTGTTATTTTTGTATTTGTATATAATTATAATGCGACTTTTTTTACTTTTTTATCATTGATAGGAATTTCTCTTGTTAAGACCCTATGAATCGATGGAACCCTAGATTCATACTAGAACCACGATGATTCAATAAAACCCTAAAGCTAAGCACAAAGATTCCTTGAGTAAGAACCATTGGATCATCACTTATTAAATCAATAGGATAGGTATTATTTTATTATTATAACTAGTAATACAAAAAAATTTGTCTGTTGGTTAAACAAAAAAGGCATCAAAAGGAGTTTGAACGAAAAAAGATTTCGATTTATACCTACTCTTGGAAGCACATTTGTACACTGTGTTACAAAGGCTGATAGGACGTAAATGGCCCAC